GAAATTTAGTGACAGGCAGGGTGGTGGTGTTGTCTACGGTGACTGAGAAAGAAATTTGGAGGGCAGGGAATAATTTAAAGTAGTGTTTTAGCCATGTTGAGCATAAACTGATGGAAAAACATCTCTGAGGAGACATTAGACTGACAGGCGAGAACTGGGTAGGAACCAGATATTCCTTTTGATGAGAGAATCTATTATACTGATTCTCCCCACCCCACATGCAGAAATAGAACAGAAAAAATATGAAAAATTTCCCAAAATCACACTTTGACAAAATTACTAGGTTTGGGCCAATTTCAATGTTTTGTTTAGATAAAAATCAAAGCATTCCATTTTGATTTTAAGCTTCAAAAATGTGTTTTATATAAAAACAATGAATTTTCCTTTGAATAGCTATTTAAAAAATCCAAATATTTTGTTCTGAAAATGGTGACCATGGCCATTTTAATATTAGTGAAATACTTCAGTTTTTCTAACTCTTTTGCACCATTTCATTTAAATTAATCCATTTTTCTAAATGTCCTGATCAGGCCCACTGATAGGGTCGGAAAGGGACAATTGCCCAGGCCCCTTGGCCACTGTTGCCGGCGGTAGCAGAGCAGAGCTAAGGCATGCTTCCTGCCTGCATTCACTCCGTGCTGCTCCTGGAAGTGACTGGCACATCCCTGTGGCCCCTGATTGTGGGCAGAGGGTTTCCATGCACTGCCTCTATCCCAAGCACCAATTTTGCAGATCCCATTGGCCAGGAATTATGGCCAATGGGAGCTGCAGAGACAGTACCTGCAGGTAGCAGCATGAGACACTCCACATACACACACACGGCCCACTGCTGAGGAGCTCCTGCCGGAGGTGTGTGCCAATCACTTTTGGGAGTTGCCCGAGGTAAGCGCCAACCCTCTGTCGCCATCCTGCACCCCAGCCCTTGCCTCATCCCAGAGCCAGCATCTTGCACCCAAACTACCTCCCAGAGTCTGCACCCCACCGCCTATGAGGATATGGGTGAGCAAGGGAGAGAGGGGGGATTGAGTGAGCATGGGCATGGCCTCAGGGAAGGGGCAAAATAGGGCAAGGGTCTTTAGGTTTGCCTAATTAGACAGTTGGAAACCCTACCAGGTGTGCATGTGGGGGTTGTGCCTGAAGAACCCATTCAGCAGTGCAACCGGCAGCTCGCTGGACACCAGCCAGAGCAGGTGCGGCAGTGCTCTCATGGGTGCAGCTTGTGAATGTATGTGGGGACCCATTGACTCTTTTGCCCTGGGGCCCAGAATTGCTGTCAATGGGGCCTGGTTCTGATTTTAAAACTGGCATTTTTTGTCAACAAACAAAAAGAAATTCCCAACAGCTTTAATACAGGTGAAACTGTAGTTTGAACAGGAGACAGACCGATCTCCTAGTCGCCCGCATGGAGATGGCAGCTGACTGTGTTTGGGTGAGAGTACCCAAAGGTAAGGTCTAAGGAAGGGGACAAAGGACAGAGCCCTGTGGAAGCTCCATAGAAAATTGAAGGAAGAATGAAGGAGCAATTAGAGAGGTAAGAGCAAAGGTGAAAGTGGCTCATTGTGGTCTGGTGCAGCGCTCTGGTAAGAACCAGCCAACAGATTGGCCTGCACCCGGCTGACTTTTTGCTCCTCTCTATCAGTGGCCCTGCTGGTAGCATCTGGCAAAACTGCTGTGTTGCTCCTTTTGCTTCAGGTAAGTGCTTGATTCCAACCCCAGCTTCAGTCCTGAGCCCTCCCCTGTAGCCTAAATCCCTCCTAGACACCAAACCCCCAGTTCTGAGCCCCTTCTGCCCCTTAAATCCTTCTCAACTTCTGCACCCCAAGCCCACCCCAAACCTTAACTCCCACCTACACCCCATATCCTCACCTCAACCTCCTGTCCTAAGCCCTGGACCCACACTCCAAACCCCAGGGCCCCAGCCTGGAGCCCTCTCTTGCACTCAAACACCTCATCCCCAGCCTCACCCTGGAGCCGTCACTCCACCTTGCACCATAACCCCCTGCCTCTACTCATAGTCCTTTCCTGCACTCTGAACCCCTCATTTTTGGCCCCTAGGGGCCCCACAAAATCTAATAGCCCCAGGTCTCCAAAACATTTAATCCAGCCCTGGTTCCAGTGTCTCCTTTCACCCCTGGATAAGAGAACAGTCACGGAAGCCAAGGAAGGACAAGATTTGAAGAAGACCGTGGTCAGCTGTGTTAAGTGGATGGGCTGGAGGAGGAAAGCAGATGAGAAATTCTTACAGCTGTGAAAGAGGATGAGGAGAGAGTTCTAGGGGGGGAAGGGGAAGAGAAGGCAAGCTGAGGGGAAGCCCATGGTATATTTCATTAGTTTTCTCTCATGAGAAATTGTCAAGATCTATTCTTATTTGTCACTCATTATGAGACAGTGTCTAGAAGGCTCGGCCACATCTCTAGGTTGATTAATGAGCTCAGCTGGGTTTAGGGTGGCCAGACATCCTGATAGTAAGGGCTTGTCTTGTATCGGCAACTATTGTCCTGCCCTTCCCTCCTCCAAAAAATGGATTTTCCACATTTGCTATCCGATCACTCTAGCTGGGCTGTGGTAGGAGTGGCTGAAGGCCGTCAAACAGGCTTGATTTTAAGCTCAGCAGCAGATATCCCTGTCTTCTTGCTAGGGATGTAATAGTGTAGTCAATTAACTGATCAACCAATAAACAAAAGCTTATAGGTTAATGCTATAGGCTACACACATTTCATCCCCCTCCCTTGCCAGTACATTTTTTAACATGTTGGCCAGCAGCCCGGCTCAGTCTTGGCTTGTGCCAAGTCCGGGACCTGTCCCTGCTGCAGCTCTGCATTTAAAGTGTATTAGGAGCTGGATAGGCAGGCAGCCTGGCTTATTCCTGGCTTGTGCTGGATCTGGGATCTATCCCTGTCGCAACTCTGCATTTAAAGTGTATTGGGAACAAGGTGGGCAGGAAGCCTGCCTCAGTTCTAACTCCCACTGGGTTTGGGAGCTCAGACCCCACCCTGGACAGGGGCTGCTCTTCTGCCCTGAGGAGCTCCCTGACATTGTGCGCTGCTGCCTCTGCATCAGAGGCAGAAGTGCAGGGCAACAGGCAGCCGGTCCATGAAGGGAGCTGTTTTTTAAACTGGCGCCCCTCATGGACCAGCTCCCACCTGGCACCTCACGCTGCTGCCTCCCTCTTTAACATCCCTATTTGTTCCTGTCCTTCTCTAGTCCATGTTCCTTCCTGGTTCCTGCTCCAGCTCTTAACTCCTGGCTCTGGTTCCTGACTCTAGTCCTGACCCCTGGCTCTTGTTTCTGATTTCCAAACTCAGCTCCATCCCTTGGTTCCCAGCTCCACTTCCTGGCCCCCTGAGCCCAGTTCTAACCATTGAACTGAACTGTCGGCCACCATTCTGACAGGTTGGATCCCCATTGCACTAGGAACTGTATAAACATAAAGTAAACAATAATCTCTGTGCCAAAGAACTTACAAATCTAGCTCAACATTAGGTTGTATTTGTTGTTATGAGTGCAGTCATGCCATCTTTTGATGTGTTCGCATTCAGTAAGATTATTCATTTCCATAGATAGTGCTCCTCAAAATGCACCAAAAGTAATGAAAACAATATGTTGACAGAAAATGAACTTGAACCTGCTCCTAGTGATGTCAAAGGCAAAAAGCCCTACTGATTTCAGAAGGTGAACGATTGGACCCTATCTATCAACAGCCTGTGTTGTTGTGCTGACTGAAAATGAGAGGTGGAGAGAGAAAGAGTAAGCAAACAAGAAGCCCAATGACATCGTAACATGGAAAAGAAACTACCCTGTTACATAAAAAGCTCTTATGCAGACTAGTTGGAATGAATACTCCTCTTACATAGAAATATTGAAAGTTATCTTTCATTTTATCTTGTTGATACAAAATCAGGAAGTTGCTCTTCCTCTGCATAATTCCCTTCAGTCTGGTCAATTTCAGCTCCATTGCTGAGTGTGGACAGTTGAGGTCCTTATCCTACATTCCTTATATAGGTAAATAAGGTCAACGAGGACTTTGCCTGCATAAGGACTGTTACATCCAACAATATAAAACTAGAAATGTAAATAGAGGGATCAGATTTAGAAAACTAAATTTCTAATATTACAAGCATAAATGACCTAAAACAAAGTATTTCAAGTTGAAAATGAAAATCACACAAAAATCAGTAAAATCTTTCATAATGGACCAGAGGGTGAGAAAGGGTCTGGGAAGTTCCACCAAAACCATTTTTTTCTGAGGTTTGATTAAACCCAAACTTGAATTTTCCCCACCCACTCATTTAACACCTGATATTCAAAAGTACTCAGAGCAGAGAGAAAGTCTAAGGAAGACTTTAGTTTCAGCTGCATTTCTTATTTTTGCATGGCAGGATCAAAAGTGAATCACAAAATCTAATCTCAGTCATTTTCTCAGGAATTGGGAATCTCATCTGGAGGCTGCAACATAACAGGAAATGCATATCACACAAAATCACACTGAGAATCTCTTTAAAAGGTCCATTAATAAAAACTGTTGGTACATTTGTTAAATTGCACACAAGGCTTGCACTTATTTAGCTTGTTATTAAAAAATGGATGAGGTGCAAAATAATGCTTTCAGTTACACCACTATATATTCCAAGTAATTTCTCAAGCACCATGGAGGGAGAAAAGTACTACATATAGCTTTAGTGTTCACTAGTTTGTTTGTATTTTATTGTTATTTGAATTACAATGATGCAATCTTCCACCATCAGCAACAGAGCTGAAATTAACCAGATTTAAAACGCATAGCACAAGCAGCTTCTTTATTTTGTATTAACAAAATAAAGGCATTTTTCATGTTACAATATTTCTGGGTAAGTAGGTTGCTCATTCCAGTTACTCTGCAGAAGTGCTTTTTTATGTAACAGAGCAGTTTCTTTTCCACATTGTGATGTCACTGGGCTCCATGTTGTGCTGACTGAAAGTGAGAGGTGGGGGCATGCCCACAGTTCAACCCTAAGTCACCCGAGGGCAGGCCAACTTATAGCCATTGCAGTAATTACTGCAGTGGCTGATGTCCATACTACCATCCTTCTGTTGGTGGTGTGCATTCTCACCAGGAGCTGTGTTGTGGGATGAGAACCAGAGCTTCTCCCTCCTCACTGGAACCCAGCTGTTCCCCAGGGCTCTTGGCTCTCCACTTTCAACTGGGAGTAAGACAGCAGCTGCCTAGGCTTCTCACCAATCCGCTCCTAGCTGGAGAGGGCGAGGAGGAGAGAAGAGAGGGAAGGGGCCAGCTTCTCAGGCTTCTCAATTCCCTGAGCAAGAAGCCTCTGGGCAGCAGCCGAGCTGGGAGTGTGGATAAGGTTGCCAGCTCTGAAGCTATTCTGGGAGATTTTTTCGCGATCGGGGCTTTTTTGCGGAAAACAGTACCGTGCTGTTTACACTGGCCCTCTTGCGCAAATGATTTGTGCAAGAGGGCTTTTGCCCGAACGGGAGCAGCACAGTATTTCCGCAAGAACACTGACGATCTTACATGAGATTGTCAGTGTTCTTGCGGAAATTCAAACGGCCAGTGTAGACTGCTGATTTTGTGGAAAAACTTGCCAGTCTAGTCACAGCCTACATGTTTTGTTAGTCTTTAAGGTGCTGCTAGACTATTAGATGTTTTTTAAGTATGGTCAGTAGTATCAGTCATCCAACAAGTAGAGGAGAAGTTTGTGTAGGCTTTGAAATTTGGCATAGAAAATGTTAAGACTTTGAAAAAAGCAACATCTGCGTATTCTAGGAAAACAGGGAAAACAAATGAGCCCTATTTAGGTTTTATGCTGTTTATTTAAATAGCTACTTCTTGTTTATTGGTGCTCTCTCATAGATATCACCTACTCCCCTTTCTCTTACCTGGATTCCTGTCTCTGCACGTGTGAAATGTTCGGGATCAGATCCGCGTCAGGACGACTGAAACTTGCTGGTAAAGTACAAACAGAAATGAGGACTTTATTTAAGAGTGAAACTTCAGACTTCTCTAACTTTGCCCTGAATATTATTTGAGAGAGGCCTTCCCCAACATTCTGTTTCGGGGATGTTCTCAGGTTTTAAAAATTCAGGGTAGAATTTTCAGAAGTGCTCATCATTGGCCTTTCTTCTGCTGAAGTTAACGGTAACATGCCAACTGACCTTAATGCAAGCAGAATTAGGCCAACACAAAGTGATTTTGAAAATCCCACTCATAGATGATCCCACACTGTTCAGAAAATTAGCTGTCTGGAAAAAAAATTATTATTTAAAATTAGCATAACCTAAGATTAGGGGTTACAGTTTACAAACTAGAAATATATTCTCAGAATAGGTGCCAGGCCAGCTCTACTTTTTTTTTTAAGCACACATACCTCTCCTGCAATGACTTCAATACAACAGATCAGCAATCAACCTTTAGCAATCTAAGCATGGGTCTAGACAGAGGTGCTATTTTGGGATACTTTAGGTATCCCAAAATAGCGTTTTCCTTGTCTTGACAGCATGCTCGTTATTGCAAAATAGCTTTCAAAATAATGGGCATGCTATTCTGATGTCCCTGTAAACCTTGTTCCACAAGGATCAAGGGACATTTCAGAATAGTGCTCTATTTCATGCCAAATTTCAAAATAAGCTATTTCAAAATGAACTCGAAATAAGCTACACAATTTGCTTAGCTCAAATTGCGTAGCTTACTTCGAGCTAAGGGTGCAGTGTACACCCACCCTATGAGTCCCCACATCATTGAATGAAATTTTGGAAAGCCACAAACAATTGAACAATATTCACAATACCACCACCACCAAAAAAAAGTATCCAACAAGTTTATTGCCAAGTAACACCTGAAATATTCATGAAACTGCTAATAATGGCTACAGTATCAGGATGGCCTCATTTCCCAGAAGTCTGAGTCTGTTGACTTTGCTGACAACCATATATCTGTCTCCATTTGTGTTTTTATTTGAAGCCACAATTTTCTCTCTGCCCAATCATTAAATTAATACCATATTAGGTCATCGCCCGATGCATCACTCCACCCCAAGCAGAGAATCAGGCTAAGGAGAACCATGGGCTGGTTACACTAGGCTCTATTCTGAAAAGCCATGATGGAAGAACGGTACCCTCTGACTCTACAGAAGCTGTCTCTCCATGCAGTCAGATGCTTACTGAGGTTCCCACAGCAAGTTTTTCCTCATTTTTATGCTGTGAATCCTCTGGTGTAACATACAGCTAAGGGGAAATGAACTGGATTCCATTCCATCAGATGTACCAGCAGCAGAACTGTTGGCTAAATTCCTGTCAGTTTTACATGTTCAAATACATTGAAGACTACGCTTGAGTCTCAACAAAGACTCTGGCTAGCTCACCCATTACAAAGATAGCTTCCCCAATTATCACCTCTAATACCATTAACTCACAGACATTTACCTTTCCCACCTCTAATACCATTAGCTCACAGACATCTACCTCCCCCCCCCCCCCCCCCCCCCCCCTTCTCCTTTCACTTCTTT